TACCAGAACCCTGCCACACAAACCCCATACACGTCTGTGTAAAAATAAATAATTTTTTTAAAGGAGAAAAATGCACTTAAAGCCTACTGATGCATTTCTAGTTCCATTATGTTTTATTACGGGATTTTCTGCTCTGACACTGAGTAACAGCATAATACTTGAGAGCTTCTGTCTCCATAAAAAATAGAGAGCTTTTCATGCAGAATTTAATGGTATAGAACCCAAAGCCAGCAGCAGCCCCCAGCTTTCTGTGCTCATTGTTTATTCTTCTTCTCTTATGATAAATCTTTATTCTCTTAATATAAATCACTTGACTTTGCATTACTGACAGATTAAGCTGCCAGTGTAAACACTGTAGGATTGACTGTTTTGAAAGATGTGTGTAATTTTGTGAAGGAACTAAGCCTGCAAGTATCCGGAAGGAATGTAATGTTGCATGTGTTCAAATGATGTTTTGCAATGTTAATGAGAAAAGGAAGTAAGTATTTAGCAAAGTATTGGTGAAATGGTAACAGTTTATGATTCTAAATTTTTGTTTACTGAAAATAACTCTTGTCACATGGAACTTTACTGGAATTTACATGAAAAGTTGATCCTGTAAGTACGAAAGAGACACTTGTGTTACTGTAGAGCCAAAACCCACCATTATTTATAATTGGGTAACCTTTCAATTTTCTTTTGACAGTAGAATTGGGCTAGAGTGAAAATGTTTTGGTTTTAAGTCTCCCATTTTGGGATCTATTCATGAAATGTTAGACATATTCATTTTTTAAAACAAATATTAAGTAGTTATCAGTTTCCTGCAACTTATGTCTATTCATTAAAAATGGAACCCATAAAATATAGAGTTGGAAACTGCAATGTTCACTGCCGCTCTTTAAAATGCTTTTTCTTTCTCAGTCCTCACTGTCAAATTATCATTCCCTTTTGTTTTAACAGTGTGGGGATGATTACACACATTCTGATGAACATAGGTCCATCCTGGGGATGCTAAACCTTCATAAAAAGGGAGGGGCCAACCACTACGCAACAAAACCAGCCTGGGTTAGGTGAACCTGCATGTACAACCCAGAGAAATAAATTCATAGCAAAATGCAGCATTTGTGGTAGCACCACTAGTGCTGGTTATTTTTTCTCTTAAACATTTTTTTTCCACAAGTAGACCCTGCAGACTTTTTGGTCAGTTGAATTCTCCTGTAACTTTAATTAACAACAAGTTGTGCAGGCTTTCACTAACATAAATACCCTTCGTGGCATTGAACATTTATGCAGCCTGGCATAGATCTTGATCTTGCTGGAGAGCTAAGTAGAAAATTTTGTTCCCTACTGCTTAGATGTTAGGTTTGCAAGATCTTTGTTTCTTACTGTCTGTAAAGGCCTAACGCATCATTGGTTAACACTGACACGCTTGTGTAGCATGAAACACGAGTTCCTGAACAGATTCAGATTTTGGAAAATGCTCTGTACTGATTTGGATTCTGATACTTGGATACGTATCAAAATTTCTTGTCACAATGACAAAAAAAGTTGATTGAAACAAACTTTAAACAAAACCAAATACCAATTACGTATTTGTATTATAAAGCTTGGCAATAAGATTTAAGTTGGATACAATTAATAAAAACTTAATAGCCAAAGTTAATGTTACTGATATTTTTTGTTTGTTTATTTAAGAAACTTGATGTGTAATAAAGTTTAAGGTAAACTTGGTGGAAAATCAAATTAATCTTATACAGATGTTAAAATCTTTCAAAGGATTGCTTTTACATGTTTATGGATGACTTTGTAAGAAGGCAGACTTGGTTGTGTTCTGAAATTAAGTGTTTTGTACTATCTGATATGAAAAGATAGTGCCAGAGGTGAAGGCTGGTGAACAGTGAGTTTTGTTGTCAGATACAGATGGTAAAAAGCAGATTTCTGCTTTCTCTTAATTATTGCATCAGTCGTATTTAGCTGTCATTCCAACAGAACGATCAATTTAGCTGTAGCACAGCAATGCAGCTGGCAACATTTGTTAAAGATTGCTGTCTTCTTTAAAGCAGTTTTGAATTAGACTGTATAGTGCATGTGCTTTATGATTTACGATTTCTTTTATCGACTTACACGTTTAATCTATTTAAAAAAACAGTTGCTCTTTCAGAAGGTTTAACGTAATGAATTGAAAGCCATTTCTTCTTTGTCTACTATTGAAAAATTTGACTGGACCATTTTGTTCATATTCCTGGGAAGTTTGGATTAGTTTAAAATGTGTTTTAGTTTGTGCTTATTAGAAATTTAGATTTCTGGGTCTGTCTGAGGATACTACATCATTAAAATAGCTGTTGTTCCTTCACAGGCCTATGAAGAGTACACCAGCAAACTAGATGCTCTACAGCAGAGAGAACAGCAGTTACTGGAATCCATGGGGAATGGAACTGATTTCTCTGTTTCCAGTTCGGCTTCAACAGACACAGTTGCATCATCTTCCTCCTCTAGCCTCTCTGTAGCACCTTCATCCCTTTCGGTTTATCAAAACCCTGCTGATATGTCGCGGAATAACCCTAAGTCTCCACAGAAGCCTATTGTTAGAGTCTTCCTGCCCAACAAGCAAAGGACAGTGGTGAGTCAGTTTCTGTTCACGTACTTGTAACCCAAATATTTCCTGTATCTTTCTCCCTCTCTATGCAAAAGTTAATTCAGGAGCTGAAAAAATTACCTTGGTGGAGGTCAGAGGGGTGGCATAATGGCTATTTGTCCTCTGCGGAACTCAGATGTTTTGATATGTGGGTGTTTTCTACAGGAGTAACCCAAAGATGTCCATTGTAGCAGTAGTACAGAATATAACACTCCCAGGAGTTTTATAACAAGTGAAATACCTCAAGAAGTATTTTTCTCAAATCAGCTTTCTTGGAAAATAGTAATTGCTGTTTTACAATGGTTACGAGCGGGCTGGAAGCTCTGTTTCTTGTATTATGTGAAATTATTGATTAGTTTAACGGGCAGATTGTGAAAAGCGTTTTCCATGTTGTCGAAGTGAATGCTTTGGAGCAAGTTCCAGCCTCCTGAAGCTTGGGAGGGCTGCGCAGAATCGCTTGGGTTCGGTTTCTCTTTCCTTTCCTCCCTGCTGACTGCGCTGAGTGTTTGTGTTGGGATCCTGATGCCATCGGGCCCTGCGTAGAGAACTGGTTAAAAGGAGAGACATGGTTGCTATTAGGAGGGACAAGAAGTGTTGCCTGCAAACTGCTCAAAACCTGGTGTCTGTGGGTTTTGACAATGTTACAGTGATTCCTGGAGTCATGGAAGAGCTGACGTTTTGCAGGCTATTTATTTGTCCGTTACAGGCAGGACTTTTTATATCGGTTAAGAGCTGCCTACTGAAGAGCCTTGATGTGTGCTTTAGAACAGTACACTGCGAACTGTGATAGAGGAGATTACTAGTACACGACGAACTGTGATAGAGGAGATTACTAAGAAGCCACGCTCTAGGCTCTATTTTGCAAGGTGGTGCATACCCCTCACATAGAAGGCGAGCTGTGGTGCTGGTGAAAGTGGAAAAAATAATGGATAGCACAGCCAGTGTCCTTGTGAAACCCCTGTTTTCAAAGCAGTTGGGTAGATACCGGCTGTCGCTGGTCTGTGACTGACCCTAGAATCTGAGTGGCTGGCAAAAAGCAGAAAACGTAAGTTGGGCATTGGGAACATGTCCTCTCCCTTGCTCTGCTGCTTCCTTTCCATGCTTCCCTCGCCCCCATCGAACTAAAGAGGTAATAGGATTTCTAGTGGGTACCACACATCGAAGAGCAATTCTTTCCACTGGATTTTTTTTTTTTTTTATATTGCCTAATTGTTAAAGATATCACTGAAGTTTGAAAGTGGTGTTTGGTTTTCAACCTAGAGATCAGGGGTTTAATGTTAACCACCACCACTGTGCAGATGTGCAGTGTTAAGCAGGGTGATTTTGTGGAATGCCTGTGAGGTATGGCTAGGCATGTAGTGCTGTCCACGTCGTAAAATTTGGGTAGAATGTACTGGATTTTGGAGACACTCTGGCTGCTTCTTCATGTGTTCTGTCCTGCTGTCTGGCTATTGCAGCTGCAGCCCCTGTGATGGGGCTGTCCCACAGTTGTTTTTGTTTCTTCCCTGCAATGGGTCACGGTATATCGCTTCCTGCATTGTTCTGGGCATTTCCTTTTCTGTCTCTCCTGTGTCATCTCATCCTCTTCTCTAAGCCATGTAGTATATTTCTAGTCTTATTCTTTTCTCTTCATCTGCAATACTCCTCTACTGCTCCTTTCCCTCTCTTCTCTTTCATCCCCCCTCAATCCTTTATCAGAGGTTTGGGAGGGCTTTTCTCACATCTGAGCTCTATTTTGCTTTTAAAGGAATCATTTCAGATAAAGAATAGTTTACAATTATGAAACAGACTACATTAAACTTGTAGGCAAGCATGATTTTTTTTTTATGTTAAGATGTGTGTATTTCACCATGTTTTAAGTTATTTCTGAGTGTGCAAATCTGATTACAAGTTAGGAATATGAGGCAACTGAATTTCAGCGTAAACCAGGTGATACAATTTTGGGCCAGAACAGAACCGTCTTGCCTCATTTGAGATGTGGTTTTGTGTGTTGCTGGTCTGTTCTAATCACAGTAAAACAGGTTGTTTGCAAGTAATGCATTTTTTTATGTTCTTAAGTAACAGTAACAGACCAGCTTGGTATGGTCAAAAACATGTGTGAGACTGTGTTTTCCCAGACTAGTGTTTCTTCTCACTTTATCCCTAAGCCTTGGGGGTTTTGCTGAATGTTGGAATTCTGTGATATGGGCTGTGCTCATTAGGAGCTTGCAGGTATGACCAAGGAGGTTAAGTTCAAGAATGGCAGCTTGTCTGTTGCCAACTCTTGACTAAGAGTTAACTTTCTGGCTTGAGGATGTGATGTCATTTGATGAGGGGCTTACAGCACTCCGCAGCAGTACACAGTGACTGGCAGCAGGGCGATAGCTTTTTCCAACACTGAGTCCAGATACTTTCCTGGCTATGGGAGGCAAATGTGGTTTAATTTGGGTGTGGTGTAGTCAGGGAGTGGCTCTTGCTCCTGTCCCCAGCTCTCTGCTGGAGTCTAAACACCATTCCCTTCACCAGTCTGCCCCTGCAGTTTGTTTCTAGCTTGCTAAATGTGGGACACGCAGCACAGAGCTTAGGAAAATCCGCAGTTTTGTGCTGTGGGTATTTTTTAAAAAGGTGGTGTCAACAAAAGAATAGGAGACAGCCTAGTGGTGGAGGGAAAGTGCCAGTCCCTTTAGTCTCAAATCTGGTGTCAGCGTGTCTGTAGATGCACGTACATAAAGGAACAGACAGATGCCTGCAGATGCAGGGAGGCTGGAGCTACACATACGGGATCGCTGCCTGGAAGCTCAGTTTGACAGGATTTGGCTTTATATGCTGTAGAGGGGGAAGTCGGCTCCAGCTCTGCTAGGAGAGACCCATTTTTGGTTGAATTTGGTATTCTAAATAATTAATTGTAAATACCTACTCAGGTCTAATCAGCAGATACTGCAAATTAACAGTTCAGCTTTGGCTCAGGGAGAGAGCTGACTTTTTTCATCTGTTTTACACATTGCTTGGATCTAAGGATGTTACTAAGATGATTTTTTTTTTTTTTTTTTAAATAGACCTAGTACATTATCTCTATTTCAGAGATGGGAAATGTTGCTTAGAGGAACTCCTAGTTGGGGTTCTTGGCCTTGGAGCTGAAGTGCATTTCTCTGAAACTTGGAATAGTGCTCATGTTATTGAGAAAGTCAGCAATTTCTTGTATGGCGACTCTTGATGTACTTACTCTGTTTTCAGTATTTATTGATCCTACACATGGTGTGTTGAAAACTAAGGAAATTGCAGAAGCAAACCCAGTTCAGAAGGAGTTGCAGCTTACAGTGTAGTTTTAAAGAGGAGTCAGATGATAGACTACTAGCCCAAAAGTCACCCAGCAGTTGTCAGTGGACACCGAGATTACTTGCAGTAGTACACTTCCTTCATTCTCTCAGTGGATAGAGAAGTGCAGCACACATCTTAGTCTTCCTTCATAATCTCTGGCATTAGAAAAAGACCTGTCGTGTCTCGCTTGTGCCCATTAGCTGAGCCTTTTGCTTATGTAGCCACGATGGTGGTTTTAGGGTGTTCAGGTATACAGAGTAGCTTCCAGTATGGTGGGTTGAGGTAGGAACAAGATTCCTTGTCAAAATACATGGTACCTGCCATTAGGGCCTCCCCTGACCAATTCTCCGTTCCACATGCCTGTTTAAGGATAAAGTGTGTCCTAGAACCAAGCGTTGAAGAGATGCTCTTCAAGTTGCAGTATTGCAACAAGCTTCCCCCCACGCCAACCTGAACTGTTTTCAGTTAATCTCTACTTCTGAAAGAAATCTTTCTTAGTATCATGATACTATTTTTGGTTTCTACCTACAACCACAGACCCACTTCATGAGGTGAGAAATCTTGTCAGATGCTAAGGTGTTCTGTTTATCTTTATCTGGGAATGCAATGATAGATCTTAAGCTGGTTTAATTTAAAGGGGCTGGAATTAAGTTGGTAATGGAGAACCAACCTCCTCATTTGTCTTTGATCATACTCTGAAGCAGTGCCAAGTACTACCGCAGCTTGCTTCTACTTGTTGGGAGCTGTTAAAAATGCAGGGGGGCAGGAGGGGAGATACTTAGTACTTTTTTTTTTTAAGTAGCCATGGCCTTGTTACTTGGAGAGTTGTCTAGGGGTTTATTTATTAGTAGTATTTGTGTGTAGGATCAAGGAAATAACATCTGTTTGAGTTGGCTCCGGTGAGAAATGTAACATGAGGATACTGGTGGAGTCCAAAGACATAAGAGCTCATTGATCAGTGTAAGTGATTTTGGTGCATAGGAAGTGCAGCTCATGTCAAGTTTCTTTGTATGAGTCAGGATAAAGCAGAGTGTTGGCTAGAAAGTTTTTCCTAATGGAGGAAAAGGTGTAAAGGTGCTTCCGTGAAAGCCTAGTCAGAAAGTGGCAGAGCCTGCAGCTGCTACCCAGTTGGCAGTTGAAGCCAGCATCTTGATTCAGCCTGCTACACAGCAGGGTTAGAATGTAATTTTTTTTTTTTGAAAGCAAACCCAAGTTTATCCCCATGATGTTGAGAGATAAATGTCTGAAATATGTATACTTCCTCTTTCCTCAGTGTCATGGGTCAGCTGGCAAGTTGACTGTCCCTTGGAGAAACATTCTGCATAAATGGACCAGGTTAAGTCTGTGTGGGCTTTTTGGTTTGTTCCAGGCCAGAGAAGGATGCTGAAATAATAATAGTGCAGGAAGGTAAAAGTCTACCTGAGATCATCAGTTATTTTGCTGAATAAGTCAATGAGACTTACCCAAACTGTGGGTGGGAGAATGTTGGAAAAATCAGTTCAAAGCTTGCTTGGGTTAGGGATCTAGATGGCTGTGGGGTGGATAGTACCAAAACTGCTAATTAAGGGAGAGCTTTTGGATGGGAGAGGAAGGGAAGAACTCTGACCTTGGGCTGGCTGCTAGAAGTCTGAGAGATTGTTAGATGCTGAGACTTGGTTTTGGTGGAACTGGGAAGTGGATGATAGTGT